AGCGGGTGCAAGATAGCCTGATGTGGAATAGTTCAGGGCATAGGTTGTGAAGAAATCCAGGGCACGTGGGCTAGCTGGCTGGGAGCTAATTACTGGGCTGGGCAAGCGGGTCACGTGGAGATTTTGCAACTTCCAGGCAGTGCTACATACCCATAGCAACCCAAATAAGTGAGATCTTTGGTGAGTGGGGGCAGAGAAGGACCTGGGGCTAGAGACACAGGACAGACAGTGACCAGCAAAGTTTCCTCCTCTCTGTTGGGGTCTGTATCTCATATCCTGGCCATTTTCTTCTTTTTTATTGAGGTCAAATTCAAACAACATATAATTAACTATTTTAAAGTGTACAATTCCATGGCATTTAGTACATTCATAGTGTTGTGCAACCACAACCTCTATCTAGTTCTGAAACATTTTCCTCACCCTACAAGGAAATCTTATACCCATTCAGCAGTCATCCTCCTCCCACCACCCCCACCCCCAGCCCCTGGCAACCTCTCAGCTACTTTCTATGTCCATGGATTTGCCTCTTTCGGGTATTTCATGTAAATGGAACCATACAGTCTGTGTCCTTCCGTGTCTGGCTTCTTTCACTTAGTACAATGTTTTCAAGGTTCACCAAGTTGTAGTGTGCATCAGCACTTCGCTGTACGCATATACCATATTTGATTTACCCATTCATCAATTGATGGATATCTGAGTTGTTTCCACTGTGGGGATTTTGTGTGAGCATATGTTGTCAGGTCTCTTGGGTATATACCTAGGAATGGAATTGCTGGGTCATATGGTAACTCTAGGCTTAATTTTTGAGTTAAATGGTGCAGCTGCCAGACTTTTCCACAGCAGCTGCACCATTTTCCATTCCATTAGTGAACTTCTGACTGAGGGTGCTGAATGTTTTTGCTCAATGACCAGGGCAATTATCTGAATCTTTTAGGCCTGGGAGCCTATGCTGCTAAGATATAAAAAGGAGTCCTATGCCCCAGATAAACTGTCTACACTGCTGGATTGCCCAGATAATAATACATGTCAGAGTCACTTGGAAGATGGCTAGGAGGAGACCAAACTCACAGGCCACCTGAGGAACTCCCCTCCTGTGGGCCCACAGCTCTGCCTGCTCATCTTGCGGGACTGAGTTTGGAGTCTGCCCTCCCTCAGCCACTGGAGACCTAACCCTCTGAGGGGTGCTAATTTGCTGCTTAGTGAGTTTGATAATTGGGGACATTTGGGGGCCTTGGGAGCAGAATGTCAGCAGGTAGCAGGAACGAAAGGGAAAGGGAGGAGATCGGGGGCCTGGGGAGGCTAAACCTAAGTGACAGCTGGTTTCTTGCCCTAGGAACAACCGTGCCAGCCCTTCTGAACAGCACCTCCAACCAGCTCTACCTCCATTTCTACTCAGATATCAGTGTGTCTGCAGCCGGCTTCCACTTGGAGTACAAAAGTGAGAACGCAGGGTCTTGGGTGTGTGCGGGCTTCAGGGTGGGAAAGGAACTGAGTCCCCACTGTGAGCAAGGGTTGTACTGGGGCTGTGTATTCTCCATCCCACTCAGGCCTTGCCCCAAACGTAGATGAGGATGCTGACGCTCAGATGAAACCTCCTCAAGGCTGCCCAGCCTGCAAATGGTAGAGCTGGGTTCTCACCCAGGTGTCTGGAACTCAAGAAACCTATGTGCTTCCTCTGTGCCCACACCAGGAATGGGAAGGGAGCTTGCTCATTGGCCTAGGCCCCAGTACATAATGTGAGATGTAAGAAAATGGAGGGGTTTCCTCCTCCAGTCCTAAGAACTGGCCTCTCTAACCCCTGGTTCTGTGATGCAGTTATCTTTGAAGTTCCTCCTCTCATTGGATACTTCACTCCTCTTCTACCAGATTCCTCCCTGCAGGCTCAAACTTTTACCTCCTGGCTTCCAGCACCCCTAGAGATCAGAGTCATACTCTTAACAGAAAGAGAGCTGTGGATGTGCTTCCTGGGGAACAAAGAAAGAGTTTCTGGGGAGACTGCTTGCATCCTGGGACTGCCTGTCCCATCCCCTCTCCCTGCTGGGTGCAGGAAGGAGCAGGCACGCAGCAGCACTGTTCACATTCATTCAGAAAATACTCACTGAGCGTTTACAATGTGCTCAGTGCTATGCCAGGTTTTGCTAAGATCGGGTGAGATCAAAGTGGGTCAGTCCCCTCAGAGTCTGCTAGAGAGAGGCAGACACGTAGAGAGAGAAGCGTTTTACAGCATTACAGCATTACATGGATGTCTCTAGATGGTGGAGCAGTGAGTGGTTCAAAACAGAGACTGGTCCTTTCTGCCTGAGGCAGGTGCAGAGGCGAATGTCACGAAGAAACATTGAGCGCCTGCAATGTGCCAAGCCTGGTGTTAGGTGCCCAGAGAACAGAGAGGAATAAGACGTGGTCCTTGCCTTTGAAAGCACAAAGCCTAGGGAAAGAGATAGACATGAAGCAGTCGTTTTGGTGCAACTTGATGCACTAAGGTACAGAGAAAGGGAGCTAGACCTAGCCAGGTAAGGCCTTGCAGAAGGGGATGCCTGAGTTAGTTAGGAATGAGAAGTGAGAATTGCAGGAAGGCGTGGCTGGTGGACCGCCTGTGACATCCTGGGCCTGTGCAGGTGGAAGGCCTGGTTGGTGCTAGAGGCCTGATTGGGTCAGCCTCAGACATTATGCAGATGCCCATCTGGGTCTCCAAAATGAATGAACTTTATCCAGGGGGTTGGGAGAGGATGAGCTGGATCCCAGGATGCTCATCACCTGAAAAGACTGAAGTGTGCACCTGATAGGAAAGACCTGGGACAGCTTGAAGCAAAGACCTTGTGGGGTAGAGGATAGGACAGGGACCTCTGGGACCTTCCTCCCCCAAGACATCTAAGGGTTTACTCACCCAGTGGAGTGAAATATTCCTGGTTTCTTGAATAATCACATTTTTCCTTTTACCCTCTTTTCTCTGTTCTTTCCAGTTTTGTTTCTTTATCCAGTATTTTAACTTGAGTCCTTAAATGTTCCCTAGAATTTTCTGCTTTTTTTTTCTTCTGAAGATATATTTTCTTCCTGAATCTCTTTGTCATTCTACTGCCTCATTCCCATGAAACATTCACCTCTTCTCGCTTCCTTTTGTCCAAGGGAACCGACAGTTTTCTCAGCAGCTGAGGTGTCTTACACGCTCCCCTCTCATGGTGGGAAGAGCTGGGGGAAAACAGAGGTCCCCACTGTATTTGGAGACTGGAATTCTTAGGAGCCAAGACCCTGTAGTTACGTTTTGTTCTGTAGATAATCTACAAAGAGGGCACAGAAGATGGAGAATTAACTGCTATCGTAGAAGCAAATGGCTTTGAAGGGTACTGAAATGTCACATCTACCGCTATGACTCATATTTAATGTTTATTTAATTGAAATGGAAATGGGGCGATATGCTTTCAAAAATAATAAATTACATATGATAAAAAATGATTTTTTTTTATTGTTAAGTGTGGTTTGAATAAAACCAAGCTGTGCAGTGTAAGAGAAACTAGAATGAACTTTTCTCTGTCTCCCTTGTTTTCTCTCTCTGGTCTCATCTTTCCCCCCATTCTATTTTTCCTCCTACCGTGCGCTTTTGCTCTCTCTGTCTGTCTCTGTCTCTCTCTGCGCCTCCTTCTCCTTCTGTCTGTCGCTGCCTTTGCGGTAAGTAAGTAGGTCTCTAGTCCCTAAGTGTGACCACCCCACTAAGTACTGTGCTGCATTCTGCTGGAGTGTGGGGAGGAGAAAGACAAGGTGACAGCCAAGATGAAATACTTCAGATTCCGTTTGGTGATTGTTTTAATCCTTGTCCTTGGGGTCTCTTGTCTCAGCTGCTAAGATTTTTGAACATAAGCCAAACAGCCTTATTTCTGAGCACAGCATTCACGTCTTAAGAGCACAGGTAGGACAGGAATTGCCTGGGAAGGGCGTGAGGGAATTTCTGGAGTGATAGCAATGCCCTGTAGTTTTCATACACATACGGGTTATAGGGGTGCAAGCATTTGTCAAAACTCAGCACATGTATACTAATGATTATGACAAACTTGAGGATAACAACATGTACACGAATGATTTGTGCATTTCGTTATATGTAAATTTCCCTTAGACAGAAAAAAAAGCACTTGTAGGTATCAGAGTCTCATCTCTGAATATGGCATGAGGACTCGTCAGCTGCTGCACAAGAAGATGGGCTGGTGACTGGTGGCCCAGGCTGAGCAGTCCTTCCCCAGTCCTTTTCCACGAGCGCCTGGCTCCCTGCAGACACTGGACAGACGTGGGTTCCCCAGGGAGCCTATATCTCCCAAGGGTGCCACCAGGAGGGCCGAGGCTGCAGTCTTCCAAACTCTGGGAGACTGCAGGTACCCAGCTCAGACAGCCACACGGTCTGTTAGCCTGTCCGCCCTCCTCTCCTTCCTGTGCCCTTTGGGAAGACCACTTTGGAGTGGGTGGAGACCCCATTTACTGCTATCTCTTTGCTTTCTTGTGAGTCTTCTATCCCTTGCCCCTGGAAAACTGCAGTCCAGGTCCAGTCCACCAACACCCAGGGATCTATTTACTGCATCCTGAGTGCAAGAAGGGAATCAGCCAGGGAGGGATTCAAAGCAGGATGAGGAAGATTTCAGGAGGGGAGGCAGGGAGAGCAGGGGACAGGGTCAGGCGTGAGCTCAGGTGGCCTCGGGGTCGGGCCTCCACTTGGGTGGATCTGGGATAAGACTGGGATTGGTCTGGATCCCAGCTCCATGGCTCACTAAGGGCATGTGTCTGGGCTTCTCTCAGCCTGTGTCCTTGTCTGTGAAATGGGATATTAAGAATGGTGTCAAGGGGACGAGATAATGTGTGTGGCTCTCCTGCCCCAGCCTTGCTCATGGGACGTGCTCAGAAGTGCTGCTCCTGTGATGATGGGGTGGGTGGGCAGGGAGGAGGAGGGTTAGGGTGGATGCTCTAGCAAAGCTCCCACAGTGCTAGGTATATGATAAGGACTAAATGAACGCAGACAGAATTTGGAAAAGTCAAGAAAGGAGAGTGAAGGAGGAACGTTTGAGAGCCCACAGAGGTGACCTTGAAAAGGTACCAGGCCAGATTATGAAGGCTGTAGAACATCAGGATGAGAAGGTTAGAATTCATATAATAGATGATGGGCACCTGCTTCAGATTGGCAAACACGGAAGTCCCGTGATTCCAGGAGAGGTGCATGTGCATACAGGGTGGACCGGAGCAGCAGTGGCTTGGGGTAGGGGATGAGACGGAGGCTGTCACAGGATCTGGTATTGATTATGATGGGCACCTGCTTCAGATTGGCAAACACGGAAGTCCCGTGATTCAAGGAGAGGTGCATGTGCATACAGGGTGGACTGGAGCAGCAGTGGCTTGGGGTAGGGGATGAGACGGAGGCTGTCACAGGATCTGGTATTGATTAAGTGTCAGAGCTGACCTCGGGAGGTGAAGTGGGAGGAGCCACCACTACTGCTCCCAGAAAGGAGCTGGCCTGACTAGGAAAACACAATAGGAGAAATAAGGCAGCAGAGAACCTTATCCACTGGCAAATTTTTCTCAGGAGAGTCTGTCCCAAACAGTGGGACTCTAACGGTGCCCCTCCCTGAGCAGCTCTGAGATGCCCTCTCTGATAACTGCTCTCCTTCCTTCCTGCCTTCTTTGCCTCCTCTCAATGTCTTAGCCTGCAGGAATGGTCTTCTAAAGGCAAGGAAGATTGAGGGAGGTTGGGAGTAGGAGGCAGAAGTGATGCGGAGGAGCCCAGGCAGAGAGGTCTGAGGGTTCACAGCCAGGGCTGGGAGCTCCTGGCTCTGAACTCAGTGGGTGAGCAGGGCAGCCAGAACCCCCAGGGTGACATGCCCCTGCCCCAAGTTGCTTTGCTCTGTTGAGCCTCTGTGCCATATAAATACTCTTATTTTTGTCTGTGTGCTGCAAGGTGAAAAGGGTGGGAAGCACTGGTCTAAAGGCCAAGAGAGAGCCCAAATTGCAGGCACCCCTTCTCGCTGCCGCCAGCATTGCCCTCAGCCCACTGTCACATTGACCTGCTGGGCTTGTCCTTTCTCCTTTCCGTCCGTCTGTCCTGTCTAGCGGTGGGCCTGAGCAGTTGCCCGGAACCTGCTGTGCCCAGTAATGGGGTGAAGACTGGGGAGCGCTACTTGGTGAATGATGTGGTCTCTTTCCAGTGCGAGCCGGGATACGCCCTCCAGGTACCTCCCTTGACACCCTGGGGCAGGAAACAGGTGTCCTCTGAGAGGTGATTGGCCAGCCTTGTGCAAACAGAGCTGCAGTCACCAAGGAACCAGGAGCAGCCCCCAATTCTCCTGGGGACTATTATCTACTCCCGGAGCTGCTCATGCAAAAGACAAATTTTGCTGACTTTAACAATTTGGCGCAAGCCAGCCTCAGATATGTTCCTGCAAAGTTGGACTTGACTCGACTTTAAGAAAATTTAATTTTCCTTTGAAGGCTATCAGGGCATTTGGTAATTAAAGGAGTCTCACAAGGAAACCTTTAGTAATGAGAATTCTTCAGTGATGCTTGTTAATAATTGTCCTTTCCAAAAATTTCTCTCCATCTTACCCCCTTCCCACAGTGGATCTGTGTATCTTTGTGCATCTTGTCCCTTAACAAGAGACCCCCAGCAAGCCCCCTGTTCTGGTTTGCACATACAATGGTGCCCGCAGGGGCAGCTCGCCCACCCCCTTCCTGATTCTTCCAGGGCCACGCCCACATCTCCTGCATGCCCGGAACCGTGCGGCGATGGAACTACCCTCCTCCGCTCTGTATCGGTAAGGGAGCCCAGACTATTTCTGTTCATTTAAATCCATTTCCTCCCAGGGATTTGAGCCCAGGGGCATATTGTTGAGTTCAAGTTCAAATCAGAAGAAAGTATGATATGCTGGGTTTGCTTTTAGTCAGTTTTAGACTGTTTTTGTAATCTGCAGCTCTCACTCAAGGCTGTCATGATTTGCAAACCTCTGCCCACCAAATGTAAAATTACAGAAGGTTTGCCTATTTGAAAACATTGTAATGACCATTCTCGTTCAAGATAATCAATCACACCCCAAAGGGAACGTCTAAGCACTTTGGGCTTACCCCCTGTGACATTTTGTAGAACAGATAGATAAATCCTGTAATAAAGAAATGTCAAGGGTTGCACATGAAACAAAGACTTAGCTTGGCTTCACTTCTTGCCCTGTGCTAGCAATGATAAGATCAACAGATACGAGAAAAGACCAGGTCTCCCCTGCAGAAGCTTCTGGTCTGGTTAGGCAAGGAGGAAACGAACATTTATTGAGGGTCTTCAATGTGCTAGACTCAGTGCTGAGCTCAGTGCTCCATGTTTCTTCACAGCAGATCTTCAGGAAAGGTATCATGATCCTAAATTTGCAAAATCAGAAACCTAAGTCTTTTAGGATAAAAAAGAAAGTGCCAGAGTCAGGAATGGCAACCTGAAGTTCTCTGGTGCCCAGCCAAGCATAAAGTGCCCTCAAAGCTGACCTTGGGACAAGAAGTGAGGGGAGTCAAGCGAGTGTCACCTGGGTGTAATGGCATTTCCCTTTTAGGATTTCATCAGGATACATGACAGTTCCCTTCCTTTGTCCTCTTTCTGCAGTCTTGGAAGAGTTGATTGGGCAGTGAGGAGAGGGAAATTTGGGGAGAGCGGTGTAATGGCATTTCCCTTTTAGGATTTCATCAGGATACATGACAGTTCCCTTCCTTCATCCTCTTTCTGCAGTCTTGGAAGAGTTGATTGGGCAGTGAGGAGAGGGAAATTTGGGGAGAGTGTAAGACATGCTCAGACTTCTCTTGCAACAGACCACTTTCACTTGCCTGCGTGTCCTCACTAGCAGAACTGGCCTGTGAGGGGCACGATCAAGGTCAAGGGTCCATAACTTGGGTGTGTGGACTCCTAGGCAGTCCTAGGATGTATTTCCCTTCCTGAATTTACATACTCAGTTTTGCCCATGTGTATAGTTTTTTAGGGAGATTTCTTTGGATTCTCAGAGGGGTTTGTGACTCAGCAAAGGTTAAAAACTGCTGCTCTGAGGGAGTTTCTGAACGTTGGCATGGTGCCATATTCTCCCAGAGGTTGTCCTAACCCTTTGTCTCATCTCATTGTCACAGCACAGTGTGGAGGAGTAGTGGAAGAGATGGAGGGGGTGATCCTAAGCCCTGGCTTCCCAGGCAACTACCCCAGCAACATGGACTGCTCCTGGAAAATAGCACTGCCCGTGGGCTTTGGTAAGTCTCCGCAGTCCCCTGGAGGAGACAGGGGCCTCACGCCAGGCCAACTGGGCTTAAAACATGTCTGTGAAATCTCTCAGCATAACCCTGGCCAAGTCAGTTTCATGCTCTGCCTACTTTCTCATCTGTTAACTTCTCATACAATCGTGAGGGTTTGTTAAGAATGGCAGAGATGAAAGTATAGAAGGGAGAATCTTAGGGGTTGCCATTATTGTCATTTGAGTAATGGTATGTGGCTCAATTTCATTGGGGTACTAAATGGCATATTGGAGTTTAGAGCACAACTTAAGATCCAGGAAAGTGAAATGAGAAATTGCTCGAGGATGGTTAAAAAAAAAAAAGAAGAAAAAATCTATTTTACGGAGACTGGACCTCAAGTTGTGCTTTTAACTCCAATATCCGATTTATCATCCTAATTACATTGAACCAAAGTCAATGTGAAATTGAGTTTCCATTCTTCATATGCACATTCTTGCTGTCCTAGAGGCTGGGAGGGATTTGTTTTGTTTTCTGTTTTTTTTTTTTTTTTTCCTTTTTGTCTTTTTCCGTGTCCGGCAATGGATCGCAACCCT